TTCAGGGTATAATTACCTCTCCCTGAGACAGAAGCCCCAAAGAGTGGGTAAATGCATGCTAATTTGGGGATACCAGCTAAGAGAAGCAAACACATGCATAGCTTGTAAGGTTTTTATTTACTGAGAAGCTAAAATGACTGAAAAGCAATTTGCTCAAAATAAGGATCTGGGTCAAGTTCACAACTCTTGTTACATCTTTTGAAAGTTATTTCCTTTTAGTTTCTTTAGCTGAGGCCTTGTCTCTTAATATAAGGTCTGTGGGAAGATGAATCATTACTTAGGGGAAATGACCTTCTTTCAGTTGTGTCTGGGACACGGAGTCTCAGATCCCATCCTTCTCCAATCGCGACTTCATTCAGTGGTACACATAGGTAAACAAGCCAAAATAGACCTCACCCAAAATAACTCCCTCCAGGACACCCTACAGCTCCCCATGAGGCCAGGAGGGCTGGCCTGGTTTGGATCCAGGCTGTGGGGCCAGTGCTGGTCTGGCATGACTCCTAAGGAAGCAGGGGAAGTGCAGGAGACCGTGTTTGTGATCCGACATCAGTCACTGTTCCCTTTCCCAAGAAACCTCTGGCAGTCTCAGACGCTCCTCTCTCCTTCTCTGTGCCAAACATATTCATCTCCCTATCCTCAGTAGAGAGTTTAGTTTTTCTTTTCCTTTAAAGAAAAACAAGCAGAGGAAGTGAATGTAATGTCACAGCAAGCAATTCTTGGCGAGCCTTGCGACAGGCATCCATTCAGAGGTTGTATTTCATCAGACTATCATTTTCTCTCATTCACCCAAACCACTATTCCCCCAAGAGGCCATTTTCTTGAGGGTTGAAGATTCTCATGTTCACTCTTGAGGCTAGAAAGGGCATAGGGAGAGAAGCTATGAATAAAATCAACTGGCTGCCAGCTCATTGAACACACTCGCACCCTGAGCTCACCTGCTCAGAAGCAGAAAGCAAAACTCCAGTGAAGATGGAACTTGAGACAACTCCAGACAGTTGCTCTTTGGATACATACCCTTTCTCATTCATACCCTCTTCAGGACCCTGACAGCACCACAGCATTTCTGACAGTGGTAGCTTAGGGAAACCACCAGACTAAGAATCAAGAAGTCTGTATTTTAGGACCACTCTTAGATTTACTAGTTGAGTAAGTTAGTTGCTTCTCTAAGCTTCATTGTGTTATTTGTAAAATGGGTAAAATAAGCCGTGCTCTCACTGGGCTCTACTGAGGAAGATGAGAGTAAGCTATAAAATGATATGCATGTATAAGGATTAAAGGGTTATCACATGGCATTGTAATGGATACTGTCCCCAAGATATGTTAATGGACAAAGTTTTATGTCTAGAAGTCTACAGATTTAGACACACTCTTCTATATCCATGTAATCACATAGATAACTCACATGAATAGGTTTTAGGGTTTAATTTTTAAAACATCCCTTTGAAGAAGATTCTGCTATTTTTTTATTTCAAATTAATATGAGGGTACAAATTTTTAGGTTACATTGTTCTCACTTCCAAGGTAAAGTTCAAGTTGTAGGAGAGCCCCTCACCCAGCGGGGCGTGCTAAATACTCTCACATTGTGCACATTAGGTGAGATCTCACCAAATGCCCTCCCACCTCCCTCCAATCACTTTCCCTCTCCTCTTCACCTCTCCCACCTTATCTCTCTCTCTTGCTAGACTGTATTTGTTTTATAATTCATATGAGTGTGTAAGTGTTTACATGTTGGTTTCATATTGGTATTGAGTGCAATGGATATTTTTTCCCCCATTCTTGAGGTATTTTACTAAGAAGAATTTTGTTTAATTCCATCTAGGTAAACATAAAAGATGTAAAGTCGCCTTCTTTTTTATGACTGAATGGAATTCCATAGTATACTTTGGTTAATTGAGTTACATGCTCAAAGACACGCAAAAAAGTAGGCAGTGGTGACACTTGAGCTCACGTTTCCCAGCTACAAGACAGAAGCTCTTTCTACAATTTACTGGAACTATAAGAGCAGAGACCAAGTTTACTATATATTCTAAAGTCCT